ACGTGATATCAAATAACAGAAGGTAATAGAAAGAATACTGTGAACTAACGCCTTTCCAATAATTTTTTCCGCCCGAATTCATATCCATTATGTAAACCTATACTGTTGGGTAGAAAAAAGAACTTAACAACAACTTGACATTATCTGTATTATTCATGGTCTTACTGCTTATCCTTAGGAACAAGGACTAGTGTAATTCTCCCGATACAAAGATTAGTACACTAAAGGTTTATCGACTCTTCATCATCATTAGACCAAGATAAATTCATCTACAGACTGGTTTTCTGCACATACTTGATAGCATCACATATATGAGAAAATGTATAGAGTATACTTCCAGTTTCTCATAGATATGATTAGTATAAGTGGCTAAATAGTAAAGCTCAAAATTGCAACCCATTGAACAGTGTGGTAAACGTGTTTCTGCCACAGATTATGGTTCATGTTGCCATGTGGCTTGAATAATTTGTCCTATTTTTGAACTAATCCTTCCGAATCGTCCAACTAACTTTCCCGTTTTTATTTAGTTAAATGTGTATATAAAAGGTAATTTTGCTAAACAATAATTCTCTGTAGTTAAAGGCTATGCTTGCGGTACAGACGAAGCAGTAGTACTAATTATTCGTATTTTGCCCTGAAATCCGTCCATCATTGTGTTAATATGTTGCTATAGAAGTTATTCGAATAACTCGACTACCCTTATAACTTTTACTGCATATGTTTTGCGCTTATCTAACTAGCTACCGTAAAATATCTTATTAGAAAGAATTTATTAAATCGAGAGGAAACGTCATGGTGGACAGCATCGTATCTCGTCACATACACCGAGTAATAATGTGTTAGAATAGAGAAAATGTTTCAGCTATTTTAAATCAATGTTTTGATATTTTGAAATATTTACATATCATTTTTTGAAGGCTTGTCGAGGTGCTGCATTTGATAAGGGTGTTTCCACTATGGTAACAGATGCAGGTGAAGATTTAATTGTGCACAAGTTGCCGATAGAAGCAGATATACTAGTTGCATACTCCACAGTACCAGGTATGTCTCCATAAATTTGTTCGTTATGATTTCTTTAAGTCATATAAATTACCAAATGTTTCTCGTATTGGGAACCTGTTGGAATAACTTACTTTCTTAACAAGTATGTACAAGTCAGTGAATACCCAAATTGATTTCATAATATGTTAGGGTTTGTAGCAAACTACTGTGTTCGAGTCACAATTTGAAAATCAACACAAGGATGGAGGTGCATTCAGCTAATGAGTCCTATGTAAGACAAAACGCGCCTACTGTATCCCACTGCTAGCCATAATCTATCTTCACTAAATGCTTTTTAAGAAATTTATTTTTTATGTTAGTAAAGCAAGCCATTTTCGTCTCTTGATTTTTTTTTATAAACATCTTTAGGTGTTAATTAAAATGACCCATTATATTGTTATAGGCAAACGGTATTGTTAGTTTATTTGTTGTTTATTATTATCATCACTTCAAATGATAATTAAGGTGTATCGCCAGTAGGACTTATTTATCTCGACGGTTACTTCTCACCTGCCTGGATTACCAGTCCTCAGCTATACCTCAGTAGTAAAACCCTAAGGTTGTTTAACTTTTAATTAAGGACAAGTTGCAATTTTTTCTTTGGTTGTCGCTCTAATTCATTAACCTTCAAATGATTATTGAGGTATATTTTGTTTCGCTTTAATATATTTCTGGGAGTAGGGAAGTTTTTTATTCCTACTAGTAATATAAACTTTTATTTCAAGTCCAAAAGATTAAATAAATGCAGGTTCCATGAATATATTGTGTAACTTGATAGCAAACAACAAATAACTGAAAGATCACTTGAGATCGATGGAATACTATGAAGTTGTTTTACCATTTAAGCGAATGCGCATCATAACAACGTACACCTATAATCTTACAAGCGATTGCTTAAGTTATTTGCATGTACCTTATGTGCTCGCTCCCAAACTGGAAAGTCCTGGGCTAGTAAATTTGTATTTAATCAATCCTTCAATTATTATCATATTTACATCAGCCTATCATGTTTTTTTTAAAGGTGTTCAAATAGTATCTATGAGCTAAACATATTAACTCAATTATAAAAAACGTAGTAGTTTTCACCAAATTTCCAACAAAATAATTAAAATAACCCAAATTTTATGTTTCGGTATTTTAGGTTTTTTTGCTTGGCGTAACTCCTCTTCAGGCAGTTGGTTTATTCAAGAACTATGTAATGCACTTGAATCCGATATGAAAAGTGCGAATCATTCAGATATTATGTCTCTTCTCACAGTAGTTGCCCGTGTAGTAGCCTATCAATATCGATCGAATACAGGTCAAATTGAGACGGATAATATGAAACAAATGACAAGTAGTGTTAGTACTTTAACACGATTATTTTACATAAATGGACCACCATCATGAAAAAAAGCTGAAGGTTCGCAGTAATTTAAGAAATAGACTTCAGGAAAATTAACATATCTTTCATGAAAAATAAACGCTCGTCTATACTTTCTAACAAAATCTTAAAGTTGCACGATTGTTTTTTATTCTTATCACACGCATATTCACATTGGAACTTTTATTTCTTTAATGATTGTATCTGTAAACCATTTTTAGAAGCATTGATGCACAGCGCTTTTTTCAATTAAATCAATAACTTTAAGACGAATCACAATCCCATGTGCTGTGTCTTTTATTACTCCTAGTTGTTGTCTGCAGACCGACTTTTATAATGTTCAAATTGTTTAAAATTTCAGTGAGTTTCCCTTACCCCCTGCCAAAAAACTACATCACTTTTAAATATAGTCAATGTGCGGATTATGTGGAAGTTTATATCTTTGGAAACTTGCTCTATCTAATCAGCTATATATATATATATATATATATATATATATATAAAACAGAATTTCACCCTACAAAAATCAGCATTAAAGGTTCTAAGTGGCTATTATTAATAAAACTAATCGCCAGTTTATCAATAGACGCTTTTCTTCCGACATTCTCTTCCTTTCTAATCGGTGTTAACAATTTTTAGCAAGACGACAAAGGCTAACTGTCCTGAGGTCGTTTTATAAAATGATTAATTAGAATGAGTGTTGACAATCCACCCATTAGTTACCATGACTTGGACGTCCGACAGTGTTGTAAGCAATTTCGATGACAATACAATGGTTAGCGGATTATATAGAGCATAGATAATCGCTGAGAGCATGTTCTTGTCAATATGGCATTTTTATTTATAATGAGACTATCTACACTAGTGTTTCGCTGTGAATTATTCTTGAAGTAGAAAGCCTACAAGAAATGATTTCCCTTGCCAATTTATTCCAAGCTACTTCAAAGCAGGTAGTAGTGTTTTGTTTGAATTGTGTGTATATCAATAATGGGAAAGATTATGTAAATGTTTTTCAATATTCAATATGTATGCAGTGTCGAGTATTTTCCCGTTCATTTATTAAGTACTACACATAAAAGTATTATTTCCACGTAGCAGAGCACTACTAAAATTTCGTTAATTTAGATATACGTCCGTTCTAAATAAATTTAAAGGAATCATTTAAGGTTCTAAATGGCTGATGTTGATGTAAAGTTTTATGGCTGTATATTTGCACACAATTCAAATTGACTTGTAATTTGGAAAAAATCTGGACAAGCGGCGAAGTAGAGTGTATCATCCCATTTAGTTTAGTTCACAAACGTTAAAGCCACTCAATCGCTATAAAATAATTCTCTTAGTGGAACCGAATAATAGATACTACGATGAGTAAGCACAAAAATGCTGCATTATTATGCTAATTGGTACTATATCTTCTACACTTGGATTTTCGTTTGTTACATCCCAACAGGGGAATTCTTTCGCTTTTATACGTTGTATTTAGGTGTTCATCCTCATATGAAACGTAGAGTATGTTGCCTCAGTGCATGACTTATAAGATACCTTTTTATAGGAAAGTATAAAATAATTTTGATGAAGTGGCATGCTAAGAGGAATTAAATGAAGGCAACACGTTGCTGATAGCAGATATCGGATCAATGAATATTTTGTTCTAGATCCGATGAACTGTAACCAAATATGACAAGGGAGCGGCAAAATTATTATGATCAGTTTGTATGCCTCACGCAAATTTGAATACGAAAATGACTAATTGAATACGATTAAATACTTAAAGCCAATTAGCTGCATTGTTCTATATTTGATCCAGTCACCAACCAACTGCTCATAATGTTAAAAAACATCGAAAATTGGTTATGAACAACGGTTCGGTGCTTCGTCTTTCACATTTTTGGTTGGCTATCGATGTTGGCTGGCCATCTGTGTTACCCCTTTCGTCTCAGAATATAAAGATAATCAATATTATGTAATAAGCAAATGAATAGTGTTATAGCCAACGAAGAATAAATGAGTGGCAACGGCTAGGGTAACCATTAAGTAAACTACATTATGTGTATACTCATATTCCTTTTATTGTAAGTTTCCATTTGACTGACCTATTGACTACTACTATACAATTTACTGTTCTTAAGTTATTCCCAATTTATTAGTTACAGTCTCTTACAATCACAACCAATTTTGGACATGATCTAGTATAATTGTTATTTTCTATTTTATGGTATGATGTGGTCTGGTTTTCCTGTCTGAAATATATGATTCATACAGCGGAATCTGACATTGGTGTTCTGGACTCAACAGGCAGGTTCAGACGAGAAGGACTAGGCTGTTTGTACTAGCATAATGCGTTATTGGTCAAGGCCACACACGTATTCTATCTGACGATATTACCACGTGATAGACTGAGAGGGCCAGAAGACATAACATGTAGTAATGATTGCATCATTCAGAAAAACGTAAATCATATGACAAGTAATTTTGATGTGAGGAAACGCTTAAAACAAGATTTGGAAAAGCGGTATTTTTAGGAAAAAAACTTTTTAAGTTGAAGTAAAAGAAAATTGTAGTTTTGAGTGCAAAAATAAGCACAAAATTATATAATTCAATCATCTTTGGCTAATTTTATATCTTGTAAAACATATAAACTTGGTGAACAAACAATATCACGATGAATTAAGTCTCTGGCTTCATCTATTTTCAAGCTTAAAATGTGATTACCAAATTGACGACATGCACCAGAAATATGACGAATTAATTCATCCAATTGTAGTAAACTTTTAATTAATGAACCTTCTGGTATATCACATTTTGATATGGTTGCAGAAAATGAATAACCATTAGCCCATTTATAAACTAGTGGAACTATACGTAGATCGAGTCGACTTTCCAAATATGGGTCAGTTAAGTTATGACGTCGTTGTAATGTTTCCAGCTACAAAATAAGTTTTCGCATATATATAATATACAATATATATAAAGAGAGCCAAAGCTAAAATGAAAACTGCAACAAGTAAGCCTTACGAGTGCCAACTAGCACGAAACCATGATACAGGATTTGGTCCCAATGATCTTGTAAGCTATTACACTGTTGTATACCTTCAACTGACATCATGATTTACCACTATTCAGTAAAGTTTGCTGATGTAGGAGTTATTCGGAAGAAAGCTGAAGGTGAAAAAACCCAAACATGGACTCAGTTTACAAAGGCGTTAACTGTTGAACTGTACTGTTGTTAAACTCAGATTACCTAACTGGGTTCCACGACAATTACCATAACCAGTTGTTAGTGATGTCGGATAACAGTGCTAAGATGCAGGTGTATTCACGTTTGTCTTAAAATATCAGCCAGCTATAAACGTAGGACCAGGCACATATATGCATCATCAACTGAATTACCATCATTCCCTAATACCCTGCGTATAATTCATTATTACTCACTCGGTGATAATAGCAGATGCAAGCAATATTTCTAAGACATCTTTGGTCAGATACTAGTAGCTTACGAGTATCTTCTACTCTTAATAGCCACGTTTCGCAGCCATAAAGTAAAACAGAACGAACTGCCGCACAATATACTCGTCCCTTAATTGATAGGTGAATAACTCGCATTCGCCATTGGTGTGAGTTGGCAAAAGCCAAACGAGCATTCTGAATCTGGGCCGAGAACTCGTCAGATGCCAATCCGTTAGGGCCGAACAGACTTCCAAGATAAGTACAGTTGTCGACGCGTTCGGATACTTCACTCCCTATCCTAAGTTCAGGCGTTGCCGCAGACCAGTCCTGAAGCAACAACTTGCATTTAGAGGAGGAGACGCATCCCAAACATTCTGGCGTTGTTACTCAGTGCTACCAAAAGACTGCATTTTATCAGCGTCTTCACCAAACAGAACTATATCATTTGCGTTTTCTAAGTCGATAAGTGGACCTCCTGGTAGGAGATCAATACACAAAAATTCAGTCGACGATAACGTTGTTGAACAAAATGGAGGTGGTGAACAACATTGACGGAAACCACGTGAAGTTGCAAAATCAGGTGACAGTTCGCCATATTCATTATATTATTCATTTACTTGAACACGCAAATATTGTTACAAGGGGGCATCAGATATATTTGCGCCAAACAAAACAATGAGAATGGGAAGAAAACAAGAATGTAAGTTATGTATAAGAAAAAAATGAGAGAACAGTGACGTCCACAGATTAATGTATGACAGTGTAATAATAATAGGGGAAACAGAAAGATACAATCAGAAATAATTCTTTTAGTTAAGGATGTTACAACCACTTTTTATGAAGAAAGTAAAAGAAGGTTACAGCAGCATCGCCATATCTGATAACGTCTCTAGCCCCTGTGTAGCACCATCTCTCAGACCCCAACCAGAGAGTCGTGAAGGACCGACACAAGCCAGTCCTTTGCAGCTTTCTTTCATACCACGACACCATGTCATATACTGACCACCTCTCCACTTTTTCCAACCAGTCCCAGAGTCGGCAAATAATGCACGATGTGGGATTCTCTGAGACGACATTCGTAGAACATGTCCAAGCCACTGAAGTCAGTGTTTCATGATGGTGACACCAATTGCATTATCGTCTCTGTGCCCGAACACACGATGCCAAACCTCTGCATTACTAACATGGTGTTGCCACTGGATGTCAGCAATCCTTCGGAGACAACGATGATCGGACACAGAAAGTCGTCTAACGTCCTCAACTCGGAGAGGCCAGGTTTCATAAGCATAGAGCAAAACTGCTCTCACCGACGCGTTTTAGATCCGACCTTCTGCAGAGAGCCAGACATCACGAAGGCGCCAAATATGGCCGAGATGGGCATAAGCCGCTCTTGCTTTCACTATACGTGCATTGATCTCATCACTCACACCACCACCAGCACTTATACAGCTACCTAGATACACGAACTTCCCGACTACTTCTATCTGTTCACCATCCAGAGTGAGTACAGAATTATAATCCTGCCAGTCTTGTAGAAGTACTATGCACTTCAAAGGTGCAAGCACATACCATACCTATGGACATTGATTGCCAAGTGATTAAGTATGGGTTGTATGGCTTGGACATTATCGCTCAGTAAGACAATATCGTCCGTATACTCAAGTTCGAGAAGTCTTTCTCCAGGCAACAGATCCACACTGTCATTACTTACATCCATCAGAGCTGTTTCCAGAATGTCATCGATGGCAAAGTTGAAGAGGAATGGTGAGATTAGGCAACCCTGTCTAACCCCACTGCTTGAATGGAACAATGGAGAAAGATGGTTGTATGCCCTCACTCTGCCTGAGGTGTTTGTATATAGGGGCACACCCTTCTTCCATGGACAATCCCAGAGAACAGTCCTGTCCAATGAATCGAAGGCAGCCCTGATGTCAAGAAACACTACGATTGTTGGCTTTTGATGAGTATGACGGTGCTCTAACATTTGGTGGAGGGTGAAGATATGATCAATACATCCCCGACCAGAACGAAAACTAACCTGCTCCTCGCGAGTCAATCTTCCTCTAGTTTTGAACAACCTACGAAGTATGACAGAAGCCAATAATTTGGAAGCAACCAGCTTGCTAACATCAATCCGTTGGTGGCGGTCACTTCGTTGGCCACTGAAAAGTAAGGTAAGATTGGCGCAGATCAAGGCATGGTCAGAGTCCAGATAGGTATTCCAAAAGGAGTGGTAGTCTTGTACACAACCACGCCAGTGGTAGCTGATCGCGATGTGATCAATCTGAGTCCAGGCTTGAGATGCAGTGGGAGGACGCCAGGTGGCACATCGGCGATGACTGTGCCGAAAGTTAGTGCTGGCCAGAAACAGGTTGTGGTCCGTGCACAGTTGTAGTAGACGGTCTCCGTTATTCGACCCGCGACCAACAAGTCCCCATCGGCCACCTAAACGACTCTCTTCTCTGCCTAGACGCCCGACCTGAGCATTCAAGTCTCCGGCTAGTACTACAATATCTGTCGAATGCACTTTCTGGAGAAGAACAGATAAATGGTGGTAGAATTCATCCTTGATTGCATCCGGGCTACAATCTGTCGGGGCATAGGCGGAGATGACGAAAAGACATCGTTTCGCACGCCGATTTCTTCTCACTTTGATGGAATTTTCTAATCTAACGACACATAAACGACTGTTAATGGGGATCCAATCGATTATTGCTGCCTCAGCTCTAGTGCTTAGTGCGACACCAACGCGAGCAAGACCAGACGAAGATGCCACAGGGTTCCCGGATAAGCGCACGTAAAACAAGCTTTTCGAAGCGACAGGTCGAGAGCGAATTTGTAGTACTTCACCATAGTCTTGAATACGAATCTCGGTTAGACATCAGACGTTGATATTAAGACTTTCTCAAGACACACCCAGTCCTATCTGTTGTTCGACCTGCATAAGTGTGCGAACGTTGAAGGAAGCCAGTTTGAATGGTGCACGTGGTTTCAGAAAATTTGCTTCAGTATTCGTATTCGATGGTGCCATTCAATTTTCGACCAGTCAGTGACTGGACAGAACGGAGTTTCCACCATAGGCAAGCTGCTGTATAAGTCGAAAAAAATAGTATAGACAGAGTAGGAATAAAAGAGGGTGAATAATGACGTAGTAAATAATAATAATAATAATAATAATAATAATAATAATAATAATAATAATAATAATAATAATAATAATAATAATAATAATAATAATAATAATTTGAATCATTTGATTGTTAGTGGAAGCAAGAAAAGTAGTTTCCGTAAATACAGATAGTTCATCATTTGTGTGTGGGCTGTGATACTGCCCGGGTGCCCAAACTGAAGCAGGTGGTATTCCTAGGGCGCCACACTCGGAGCCTTCAACCTAAAGGTCTGATCCACAAGGCAGTGGGGCATCGTGAGGAGATTCAGTCCCATGGTAGCCGGTGACTAATAATAGCTTTATACACCATATGTTCCCTCAGGATACTGGACCCATGTGCACTATTGGTTTAGGATCAGGGTTTCCCTTAGGTGACTCACTGGCCCGGTTAAAGCGCCGAACATTCGCTTTTCGTGCGCTCAATTTTGTAAACAACACCCTGGCCACAAGAAGGCAGTGAGTAGGACTTCCCCGACAGAGGTTGTATACCCGTGGGCGTGTGAGCGTTTGGAGAGGGAGGGCGGGCACTCCCCACTCTCGGCCGTACTAGGACCCTGACTCGACTAGTGTTCGAGTAAAGAGCCTTCACAAGGTTTATGTACTTCTGAAGTACGCCTTTTAATGACAGACACTGCCATAGAACCTCTCGGTTTACAGAGTCAAATGCTGCTTGCATGCTTGTGTTCTAGAACCTGACGAATGGTGAATACGTGGTCGATGCAGCCACGACCAGGTCTGAAGCCAGCCTGATTTTCTCGTGTTTGCAGTTCACGAGTCTTAGTTAGACGATCGATAATTATTGACGCTAATATTTTACATGCTGTATTAGTCAAACTAATCCCTCTATGGTTGTCACTGGATGATTTTGACCTTTTCTTATATATTGGGACGATAAGTGATTGTGACCAGCCAGATGGGATTACGTCAAACTCCCAGATTTTAGCTAAAATATCAGTCAACCTAATCGCTAAAATTGAACCACCATACTTAAAGATCTCTGGAGCCAATTCATCTGAGCTAGCTGCTACGAGTACTATGTCTGAGCGTTCAGAATTATAAAGAAGTTCAGAAAGCTTCCTGTAAAACTCATCTTTCACTTCATCCGGGCTGCAATCAGTGGGACCATAGGCAGAAACAACGAAAAGGCAACGATGTGTGTCCCTACCCTTCCGAGTTCTAACGGAGCTGTTGAGCCGAACAACATATAGACGACTGTTAACGGGGATCCACTCCAATAGTGCTTGTTCTGCCCTCGTACTTAGTGCTATGTCTACACCCCCCAGTCCACGAAAACTAGCCACCGCGTCGCCAGATACACGGAAAGTGCATCCCATTGACTATCCTTTTTGACGTCAAGTGAATGACCACACTAGGATCCTGTATGTGTGTTTCGGAGACACAGCATACATCTATGGTACGAGATTCTAGGGCTTTAGCCCAGGATGCCTGCTGGCCGATTTGACACAGGGTGTGTACGTTGAAGGCTTCAATGTGTAGTTTGGAGCGCGGTTTCAGTAGACCTAGGACAATGTTTTACGCACTAGAATCGTTGACTATGGTGACACTTGAGGAGGAAACCAAAAGAGGAGGTTTAGTCGATGTAGAAGAAATAATAGGAATTGAAGATGGAGATTGATCATGAATATAATGATCTTGAGTGTTGCTAGAGTTATGAGGGCAGTCATCACTTCCCGGTTGCTCACACCATGGAAGCGTTTTTCTGGAGGTACCTGAGAGCGTGACCGCAGTACCCAAGGGGCTACTGCTTGAGGCCGTTCACGCAAGACTTTCTTATGAGTAATTTTCATGCTAGCTTCGTACTTTTGGGAACCGTACCGCCGGAGACGGATATCCGTGTGATAAGACGAGGTGTGCATTTTTAAGGTCGACCGATTCTAACCCCACCCCTCCTTGTGGAAAGGCAGCATCGCTGTTACGCTGGTTGTCTGAAGGAAACACCTTAATGCCGTCACATCTCTGTACAGTCAGAAGTACGACTTCGCCCTCAGAACTTGAGTTTGCTGCTTTCAGTCTTACCGGTCTTCAACTGACCTGTCTGACGTGGTAGGACCTTGAGGAACGGTTGTTCTTGCGAGTATAGCTCGATTGGTTTATCACAATAGACAAGCCCGACCACCGCGTCAAGGTATTTTTCAAGAAACATTGTATATCTATAATGTTTTGTCCTACCACTGACTCTATAACTACTTCTCTTTCTCCGGTTCGTCTTGATAATTCAGTTTTGTCGTACTGATATGGTTTGACAACTTGGACTGATGCTCATATGTGCTTATGATTGATTAAATGAAAATTCTCACTAATTAGAAACAGTTGATTCGTACTGGACAGATGCATTAAAGTATCGTCAGCTCTCTTTTCTTTTAAAAATAATTCCTAAAATATCAAACTGAAAATTTCTAGAATCTTAGCTATATTTTTGTTGGTCTATAATTATCTGTTAGTTATGTGACACTATCAAATTATGTAATTCAATCCACAATTACGTTAACTGTAGAACAAGAGGAAATACAGAACAATGCTCGTCTTCAGTTGTATATAAACCTAGATCATACCAACCTGTAGTTATAAATCTCTTCAGAGTCGACAAAAAAACAAGGGATTCAAAACGATTGGTCCTAGCAAAACATACTGCGTCATAAAATACTAAATTGCCGGAGAGTTGTAATCATGAATATAAGCATAAACATTACGATATATATACTATGGGATCGATTCTATCTACAAAATCCACATCTCCAACCACTAGATACGATAATCGCATTTATGCAAATCAAGTAATTTGTATTTACCTACATGACTCAGTCCAGTGGTTTCATGAACTGACGTCACATTATGGTCTAGTCTTTCTAAACTTCTTTCAAACTACTCCGACATCAATCAACATCGCATATCGAGGTAGAAAGCGGTTAAGAATACAAAATACATACCTCGACCGCCTTAAGTCGATGAAGAATTACTGCGTCGTCAAACGATTTGCCATCACTATCCAGTACTCTGCGTCTACACTCAACTTTTCACTCGGTGATCACATCGTACACGAGCAATGATTCTAAGACACTCATGGTCGAGTATTAATGTACTATGCTACTCATATCTTCTATTCTCAAAAGCCATATGTCACAGCAATAAAATAGAACAGAGTATTGTGCTGTGTGGTAAGCTCGCCCTTTGTTTGGAAGATGCATGAGGCTCAGTTCAGTGTCTGATAATTATTAGAGCTAATATTTTAGACAGTATACTAGTCAAACTGATTTCTCAAATATTGTCACAAGAGGCATTTTATCCTTTCCTATAAAACGGTGATGATCAGTGATCGAAACTAGTCAAATGAGATTATGTCCAGGTCTTAGAATCTAGCTAATATATTAGCCAGTCCAATTACTTAAACTGAATCACTATCATTAAAGAACCTGCCGCTCTTCCTCGCTTTAGACTCCCTATAGTTTTATCAACCACAGCAAAACTTGGAGAAATCGTTTGAGTTTCCCATTCATTCGGACTTCTCTGATGGAAGATATTACGACATTTGAACTCATATTTATTCGAGTCTGACTGAACTATATTTATGTTTCATACGTTTATAGGAATTCAACTGAGATATCGTTATGTTGTCAGTCAATTTAACTTATTCTGAAACACTGCTGAATCATTTTTTCAGTTAATTGGAAAATGTGTATATGCAATTAGCTCACCTCATAGGCACGAGTTAAAACGTTTTTGAATACTAAAAGTAAATGACGAGGAATACATTCCAAATCCTTATGAAGATTAAAATTGCTTGTATAATTAGTAGTAGTAGTAGTAGTAGAAGCAGTACGATTTATTGAAACAATTAATTCTTCAAGATAATAGCTAGTTGTCTTTTCTGGAGTAAGATCTTGTGCTCTTAGTTCATTGGAAAACGCTGAGAGAACAGCTGCAATATCAGGGGCCAATAAATCGTCAATAAAACCGTCGAGTAAAAGTTGTGTCAATAAAACTTCCTTACTTGTTAATTCACATGCAAAGAAACCTAGGAAAAAAAGGATATAACAATTTGTTGTCTTGTTGACCGCTGACAAATATCACTTGGCAATCCACTAATCAGAATACTGATTTGATCTATTTCGTGCTTACTATTTACTCTATAATCTAAAATCTCTGATTTGCCCAATTATAGGCCTCACCAGTACTACTAATTTTGAGCCGATATCTAGTTTCCTACTGGTATGTGATTCGCAAGCATCTCTCTCAATAGCTGCTCCGAGTTCAAAAGTCATCAACCAGCTTTAACTATAGTTATATTCCAAACAGACGTGGTTTATATAGACACACCCGGCCGCACCATACTATAAAATGAAAAATAACAATTATGGATAAAAAAAGCCAAAAGTGGTAGTGGATAGCGGAAACCGTAAGTGATAGACTAAACACGAATAGAAAGTCGTACGACAGTTGTTTATAGGTATATAGACAAAGTAGTCTAGTTACTTAAAAATTACGTAATAACACTGTAATATAATATTTATCGACAAATTGGTCCTGATAGTTACTATTCCTTCAATCTTCGTTCTGGTATATCAGAGTTTATTTTTTTCAACAACTAATAATAATAGTGTATGGAAAAAAGCAATGAAAATAACGAAAATACCCGGGGGGTTAATGCTAATCTTTTAGAAATATCTCCTAAAAGTACATTTCTCATATGTTTGCTTTGTTAAATAAAATCGCATATTGTTTGGTAAAGTATCCAGAAATACAGGAATTAGTATGTCCGAACTTCCGTCCAATTCAAAGCTCTATTCATATTTAAAATAACCAACCTATTGAATCTCCACATCCATGATAGAAAACAAAAATGTCGCAGTTGTTGGTCCTGTCTAGAGGCCGCAGAGAATCCGACTAAAGCTGAACCACAACCATGGCCAAAACCGGACGGGCCTTGGCAAAAAATACACGCTGATTTCGCCGGTCCAATACAAGGCAGAAATTACTTGGTTGTCGTCGATGCTTTCACAAAATGGCCAGAAGTATATGACATGCCGAAAACGAAATCAGAGAGTACAATAAGAATATTGTCAGGATTGTTTGCTTGTCTTGGGGTCCCAGAGATCTTAGTGACTGACAACGGTACTCAGTTTATGTCATCTGCTTTTAAACACTTTTGCGGCGAAAATGCAATATCGCATCCACAATCTCCTCCGTCCCATCCTCAGTCGAACAACCAAGCAGAAAGATTCGTGGGTACGGTAAAAAGAGCTCTGTTCAAAGGAGGAAGGGAGGGTATCCCAGAACAGGTGATCAGTAAGTTCCTAACGTCTTAAAGAGTTATCCCCAATCCAGCAGTAACAGAAGGAACGTCACCAGCCGAGTGTATGCTCGGAAGGAAAATATGGACAGTCTTAACAGAATGCTGCAGCCAAGTAAACCCATGAATGAGCATCGTACGGTCACTCGTAGCTTTCAGGTGGGTGAAAGGGTATTTGTCAAATCGTATCAAGATGATAGAAAGTAGGGACCAGGTGTTATAGAACGTTGGATCGGAAATGTACTGTACCTAGTCCGGAGAAATGTCGGAACGAGTATAAGACACATAAATCAAATTCAAGGGGACGGCAGAACTTTGATCACACAAAGCCGACCCCGTTTCAATCGCTCGCGGATTCATCTCGGGAGCGCGAATGTAGAAGAAATAAAAGGCGCAAGGCCAAAGCGGTACAGGCTTCGAGAGTGGTGAACAGCAAGAGGAATGCGGTAACCGAGTTTCAGGTGGACTGAAGGAAAACGTCTTACACTCTAAAGAGGGGAGGTTTGAGGACTCGAGGAAGCCCTAAGAAGCTCAGAAACAGCCGAAGATATTTCATCCCCGTTGCCACTGATTTGTCTTGGTTCTTCTTTTTCAAGTGAAAGGAAGGCTATTCCAAATAGTGTCAATTATGGTTCAAAACTTTCAGGTATTTATAGGGGAGCTATTAGCATTTGTCCAATAGGGAAGCTCCACGTAGGGATTCTGGAATATTCTTTCAAAAGATGATTGAATGGAGCATCTTCGGCTCTCTTTGAGCTTCTTAGGGCTTCCTCGAGTTCACTCGTTGGCTGTCCTCACATAATAATTCTTTTGAAATACAATGCCTGGTAAATTGTGGAAATCTATGGATTAAATTCAACAGTTTTTCAGTGTTCAGAACTTAATCCCTAATTCCTGTAGAAAAATCAAAGCAAATATAAATTTACGTGTGAATATTAATATTTCTTCTCTGCCAAATCAATATGCTATTTTTAAAAAACAACTAAGTGTAAGGAAATTTATCAAAAATCTAGGTTGCACTCTGATGTTTCATCTGTCAATAATACATTTTTTGAGAAAACAAAAAGTACTTAGGTTACACCTTTAGAAATTAGAGACTATCTTTAGTTTTATTTACTTATTCGCTAAAAATTTAAATAAAATCATTATGATAAAACTATTATTCAAGAATGACTCGTTTTCGTCACAGTAGGGTCTCATTTGAGATACTACTGAAAATCAGATAGCTATCTCAACTAGGATCAATCCGTAAGGAATGGAACTTACGAATTCAAAACATTCTCCACAAAACCTCTTCAAGATGTCAGTGAAGTCCTAGTGAAAAGTCGTGATTAGTGGAGTCCAAACGTGTTGGAAGTGACAGTTGTCACCATAAGTAACGGATTATCATCGCGCCATATTGTGGATTGAACAAGAAATTGTACCAACTGATGCCAATACAGTAATTCTGATGGTGAAATGTTAACTGAACGATCCCAAGGCCCTGAGTTTTGATCTTTAGCAAGTTCGTGGGTACTCAATGGAGATGCGTAGCATATTAAAACGAAACAGTTGTTCACTGTTTCCAGGTTTTCAATGGTACCTTTAGTGAGTTTAGTCTGTGACAAATAAAATCTACAAATTAAACTAATCATTACAAAAACCTTCAACCAAACCATGATTATTTAGGCATTGCAAATATCTTACCTTTAAAACTAAGGCAATAGCTTTGTGTTGCCGAATCAATAAATCCAAGTTCTTTCAGAACACTCAAACGTCCTGTATATTCATTAGAAAGTTGTAACTGATAATTGGCTAAATTATTTTCGATACTCTTAATAGCAAATTTCCGACAAATTGTTTGATGAACAAGTTTTAAATGTTGCAGTAAATTTGGACATTTCAATAGATTTGTTGAACTGAATGCTGTTATCGTGCCGTTTGCAAGAGGAATTGTTAATTGATCATTCAGCGTGGAATATTCATCAAATAAGCAAATATCCTAATAATCAAACAAAATATAAATGGAATCACATAAAAAAAGAAATAAAATAACTAATCCTATATTGTACAAATCATCACTTGAAAACAAGTGAAATGAATCTTACAACAAAAAAATTCAGAAACCTGATTTTCATAAGCAAAACTATTGCAGACATAAAAAGCTAGTGAGATGGGCAAGAAATTAAGAATATGAAACCAAAATAATCTCTGATTTTTTAAAACTATCCAACACCCATAAAGGTTTATAACCATTTATACTCGGATACGTAGGCATGTAGAAGGTATATTTATACACTATACTTTAATTACTTCGGTTACGATTTAGGCAAGGAAAATTATTTATAAAGATCTAGACAAAAAAATACAAATTGATTCCATAACGTTTACCAGAACCCACTTAAATCCATCGCTTTTGAAACCAATCACCTACGACGTAGGACCGGGCACATATATGCATCGGTCCACGTTACCATACCTCATTAGCACAAGATGAACACAGGATTCATAGAAGTACTTCATTCACTGGTTGCAATATATAAAAGAAACATTGCATCTAAGGACATAGTACAGGAAGAAAGAATTAGTTCGTAGACAGAAAGATATGGAGCGATTTTATTCCCATAGTTTAAGGGAAGACAGTGAGTGTATACACCTACAATATTGTGATTGATTCTCAGCCATGTCACTCAGTCTCTAACGACAGTCACGCGGACCCCAACCAAGTAGTTTGCATCTACCAACATGGCTTAACCTAGAAGTTAGTGGCCCCAAGCACTGATGCCACGTTTCGGTCTGGCCGCCCCTAACTTTCTTCCAACCATCCACAACATCGGTTACCATTGTGCGTCATGATAATTGGTGGTTGGACCTGAGTAATACGTGGCCCAACCATTTCAGTCAATGAAGGTTCACAACCTCATCAACGCATTTACCATCATTCCCTAATACTCTGCGTATAATTCATTATTACTCACCCGGTGATAATAGCAGATGCAAGCAATATTTCTAAGACATCTTTGGTCAGATACTAGTAGCTTACGAGTATCTTCTACTCTTAATAGCCACGTTTCGCAGCCATAAAGTAAAACAGAACGAACTGCCGCACAATATACTCGTCCCTTAATTGATAGGTGAATAACTCGCATTCGCCATTGGTGTGAGTTGGCAAAAGCCAAACGAGCATTCTGAATCTGGGCCGAGAACTCGTCAGATGCCAATCCGTTAGGGCCGAACAGACTTCCAAGATAAGTGCAGTTGTCGACGCGTTCGAATACTTCACTCCCTATCCTAAGTTCAGGCGTTGCCGCAGACCAGTCCTGAAGCAACAACTTGCATTTAGAGGAGGAGACGCATCCCAAACATTCTGGCGTTGTTACTCAGTGCTACCAAAAGACTGCATTTTATCAGCGTCTTCACCAAACATGACTAAGTGACCAGTTATATGGAATTCGCTTTTGATACAACAAAGCATCGTTTGATCACGGTATTTATGAAAGTCCACAAGTAAAACCAAAGAAAAGTATGCCAGGAGCTAAACGACGTAATTCTTTAATTTTTCAATCATAATACACCATAAACAATTAAATACTGACAATCTTGCAAAATCATGTTTTCACGAATGGAATTCTGTTGTTGTGGTTCTATAAATCTAAGACAGATTTTTTAATCAAGAACTCCATAGACCGACTTATGGATATAATATACATCATTTGTAAATATTTGTACTGGAGAATCTAGAAATTTCACGTCTAAACACACAACTAACTTTCCTTCGATACACATTAGCCATATAACAATGCATCACATCACAACTGAAAATAATCAATCATAGTTTTGCTACTGAAACTCTTTTCTAAGTAGTCAATATTCATTGGTCTTAGTTTCGCGTCTTTGGATGATGTTAAAATACGATTAACACCAACTGTGAACTGGTTACAGCTAAAAACAAAAACGAGTGTATACTTATTTGGTTTGGCGCTTACTAAAAGATCCGAAGTTTAATTTCTACAATTATTGTGAACGTTTACCATGATTCATAATAATAAACGATATGTCAGGCCATTTCCTAGTCATTTCGTGGATTATTACGATTCGATTATCGATTGGGAAAAGATAAAATGAAATTGTTAAATAAAAAGTTACATGAAGATGAAGTCAATTAGCCTTCGACCTAAAGGTCTGATCCACAAGGCAGTGGAGCATCGTGAGGAGATTCAGTCCCATGGTAGCCGGTGACCAATAATAGCTTTATACGCCATTTGTTCCCTCAGGATACTGGAGCCCATGTGCACTATTGGTTTGGAATCAAGGACTTCCAACACACCTAGGTGGACCCTTGATGTCCACCAACTCGGTTAAAGCACCGGACATTCGCTTTTCGTTCTCTAAATTTTGTAAACAACACCCCCGCCACGGGAAGGCAGCGAGTAGGACTTACTCGGCAGAGGCTATATACACGTGGCCATCTGAGAGCATTTTGAGAGGCAGAGAGGACTCTCCCCACACTCGGCCGTACCAGGGCGATTGGGGGTAATTAATTGAGGAACTCTCTGAAAATTGAAAGCGAAAAACTTCACAAACAATGAATTCAATAAAATACAGTGACGTTAAATCGTGTTACGACGATTACGTCTATTAGCGTTCCCAGATAACACAGTAAAATCTAATATTTATAAAAGAGACTTTGATACATTCAAATGTTGACAAGATACAAGTTCGTTCTTTATTATGAGGTACACGTCTACGATTCTTCTAACACGACACTATGAATAAAAGTTCGAATAGACTGGAAACACTAACCACACCAATATTTCACATGGTAGTACTACATAGAGAAGGTGAGACTTTCAGAATAACTTTATATTCTGAGCAGAAGTCAGGAACTGAATAGGAACAACTCCGTTTAGGCAGTAACATACAATGACCGTAGGCCATATAACATTGTTAGCAAACTAGAATTGAAAATAGTTAATCAGTTAACACTGAATGTTATTAAATAAATGTTGTGGTAGTAAAATATCACTAAGGTTGTTCTTTCAAAAAAATGAACTAATGTGTCATAACAAATATTTAGAAAACCTGAGCTATCCTTATGATATCATTTCTCTTATTACGACCGAGTTAACCTTATTGCTTAGTAGTCTTGGACACTACTTCACTCGAAGTTTTCCAAATCAGAACACGGTTGGACAGGAACGTAATTGCACCCCAGATAAAAAGGTTGGATTGAAATAGGAATCACAATAAGAGAAATGTTGGTATATTTAAAATTTTTTACATAAGATTCTCGAGTCTTCAAGTATCCACTGGCGTTGATTGGATAAGAAATAGGCAATTAATATGCCCCAACATAATCCTGCACGGCACATATTTTAATCTAATCTACATCCCCCTGACACCTTACCTAGTTACCATTGGTGTTTACCAATAAACTTTATTTTATTTGAACGAATTCCGTTCATTCATGTAGCGAAATTCATTTGACAGAACAAATCAATCTATCACATGGTGATCACAATGATTTCCATTTAAATAGTATATTTCTCAGCGGAATATATGGAGAATGTGTGATGTTCATAGATCACATATCAAGCACTGACCTTCGTTGGACCCTTATTGAAAACTAGAAAGCATTGTATAAGTGTTTTACCTTAATATGAAACTTCTCATCAGTGTGTACGTTTTGTGTTTCTCGAATTTCGATGGTAGTTTAATGAACATCAGCTCATAATGTATTTTATGAATAGTATAGTATTTATCAGTAAACATAAAAAATAAATTTAAAGAATTTCTTAACAAAAACATCTGAGCTTTTCAATATCACACTACAACTATCAGTTTATAGACTGAACGGAAAATAAATAAAACTGTGAATCAATGACGGAAATCGATATGATACATAATTTTACACAGAAAAAGGAAAGCTTGACAGGGACAAAATTGAAAAGTATGGATTTTAAAGGAAATAATTCAGTGAATTAATTACTTAAAGAATCTGAATCACTTTGATGATAGATTCCCAAGAATATTATCGTAAATTGAGGTATTAAATTGTCGATTGTTTAACTCTGATAGAGTCAAATCTACGAACAGTAAGATTATTATTACGAATGTTTGACTATATTGTGTATGCCGAGATAAGATTTATGGAAAACTAACAACTTCATTATACTTCTTAATACATTAGCTGGGTGAAATGAAAAGGATGCAATATAAAATTTTCATACACACCTGCTGTTCAACTCACCATGATTTCATCGTACTTTTAATATTGTTTGGCCAAGTGGATAGATTTATTTGAAACTCAAAATTACATTTAAGCTTTAGCAAACTGTGTACAACAATTTTCCTGCGATTATTTATGTCTGTCATGATTGTTTTATAAACCAAAAAAACATGGAAAATATATCTTTTTCTACCCGTACAGTGGTATGTGCATGATCTGCTGGTTGGCTGATAAAGTGTAAGACGAGTCATGTGTTTGTATATAAACAGAAAGGCTAACATGTCATCTCAAACACACACGGCAAGTATAAATTTACAAAAAAGACGCGTTAATGCAGGAATCTATTCAAGGTCTCAGCCTGCATGCCTTTTTCCGGCCTATTAGAACAAATATCTATAAACCCATGATTTGTGTGCATCATAACTCAAATAGACAATTACGCCCTCTTACTCATTTGTCTTTTTGTTTTAACGGAGGATAAAGCATTATGTTTAAAGCAAAAAACAAACATGTTACCGTACTTTGAAAAGGCAGTCCTTTGTACATTTTGTCTAAACGACAGGAAATCAGATACCTTATGTGCTTAAACTAAAGTACGGCCCCCCAAATGCCCTGGTATGGCCGAGAGAGCGACGGGCTCGCCTTCCCTCTCGAAATACTCTCACACGGCCACGCGTATACAGCCTATGTCAGGGAAGTCCTACTCACTGCCTTCTCGTGGCCGGGGTGTTGTTTACAAAATTGAGCGCACGAAAAGCGAATGTTCGGCGCTT